CGATTCTGCTGCTGGTATTTTCTTTTCTTGGATCTTATCGATCTATGCCCTTTTGGTCTATGGGGTATCCCCCTTTTCCGCTTTTCTTTCTTTCATCTTCCTAATTCCTCAGGTAAGATTCATGCCAGTCTGACTAAGGTAAGGGGGAAGACCTCATTTCGTCATTCATATCTATTCATCTTAGCCCTGCTTCGGCGATTCAATCCGACATTTCATTCCCCCTTCATCATTTGATTTTTCGCATCTAAGAGCTGATCTTGCAAAAAACCTTTCATTCGATGCTTCTGATTCAACTCCCAGACAACCAAGCAAGTATGTGTGAAGATAGGATTAGCCCCTGTGGCAAGCATTATCCGGGAACGATTACCCAGGAACTGGAATATTGTTGGCGTGACACGCCTAAATCCCCCACAATTAATCCACAAGGCTTCAGGCGACTGGAGCAACCTTTGAAGGCACTAGGCCTTGTTCACCCTTTCAACTAAGTATCTCACTTTTTCCTTGAGGGGAGCCGAGATTCAAAATATGTGGGCCTTCATCGCCTTAAGGCAATCTATCCAAAGAGCCTACCCTATAATAGATTCAGCTAAAGCCGCGGTTGGAAGATTTCTTTCTCAATCATGAATCCGAGCTTGCTACTTGAATCACGAAAGGCGCTTTTCTCACTATCTATTCAATTTAAAATGCTCACTTATGAAATCAAGCTAATAAGGCCAAAAACAGAGCATGGAGTCCACTGGCATGAGAATCAAGCGAAGTAGAGACATAAGCGGATCCAAAGAAAAGAAGCAAGACGACTACTTCCATTCCTCTCCTTAGACCGACAGTACTACAAGAAAGAAATAAGAGAGAAATAAGGCGATTATTACCTAAAGAATAATGTGAATTAGAATAATAATACCTCACAAAGAAGGTAGATGAATTGCTTAAAAGAGCTAAGATCCGCTGCTATTTTCATGGAGAATAAGCTCTTAGATGTAGCATTATCGGACGTGAATCTAAAGGTTAGAACTAATAATCTAGCTCTTTGCAATAAGGGCTTTTTTCAGGACAAATGCCAAATGCAAAGAAAGCAGAAGATGTAGCTTTTCCAGCTCGCTCTAGTCCCCTACGATAAGGATGAGAAAAGGTCAAGGAGTGAATAGGAGGGAATAGGGGCATCAGTCTTAGCTCTTACTTTTCGAGAATCAACTGTACATGAATAGTCTCTTCCTTAGGCCTTCAAGGAGGAAGCGAGGGTGGGACAAGTGAATCCGATGTGAGGACAGGATTGCTGCGTCAGTCGAAACTAGGGCTTATGCAATTGAATCAGAAATGCACATGTAAGATAAAAATGGAAAGAGAGAGCCAAAGCAAGGATTGATCTATTCCAAAACCACTGGGCAGGGACCTATTCCTAAGCCATTTTTAGTAGACAGACAGGGAAAAGGACTAAAAACATTCTTCGCAAGATGAGAGCAAGCATTAGATGAAGCCGACTTTGTCCATCTTGCATATCAAATTCCTCTATCGATAGCGTAAAGCCATCCAACACAGAGAACGAACATGGTCGGTAGGTAATTAATCTTCGTTTGGATAGCAAGTACGGTACACGCATCAAGATATGATCTGTGCTTTTTCATTCCTGGCATTCAAAAGAAAGGGGGGAAAATGATAGTGAAAAGCACCCTATAGATAAAGATCGAAAGCCTGTGGACCGGGGTTGAACCATATCCCCCTTCTATTAATCGAGAGTGTGACGAAGTGAACCGAAAATATTGTGCGGTAAACTGATGCTGTGAGGCGGAGATAGCTGCACTTCTTGTTCTTTTTTCCCTTAGATTCTTTAACGCTTCTTTCAGGTCTCGCTACCCCTGACCATAAGAAGAATGTTATACTATAAGAGCGAGGTGCAAGTGCTGCATAAAGTTCTGTTATCCGTTGTTCAAGCATTTCTTTGAGTAGAGCGCTTTCTTTTCGGTCATTGGCAAGCGTAGATGGGCTTTCACACCCGCTTATGTTGTGGGTGGGATGAAGGAATTTATCTTATTATATTATATGGAAGAAGATCGTTAGATGGTTAGCGGCAAGAACAAAACAAGGGGCATTGTATGGAGGTTTCCAAGCAGAGGTGCGAAGCAATTGAGATGCATATAGAATAGATGGTCGGGTTCCAAACCTCGCCTAGCACCGAAAGAGAAGGCCTTGTTCTGCAGGGTACGGCCTTGGACAGTGGAAAAATGAATAAGATGGAGCCTACCTACTTGGTTCGGACGAAGTAGATAGATCAAAGGAATGGAATCCAGGTGGCTCTTATGCCACTTTTGATGGTCTCGGTTCGGACGAGATAGATGGAAAAGCATTAGGTCGATGGTCGGGGTAATTTCCTTCCCACTCCGAGGCATATTGATATGGATCCCTGGGAACAGGTCTTAGAGAAGTAGATGGCTCGGCTCCACTGGGAGATGGGAAACTATATGCGGAGTTAGAGGCAGATGGACTTGTACTTGGCTAATCGTCAGAGGGATGGTAAGTAGATTGTTCGATAGCTTACCCACGAAGATGGATTTTATTCTGGTCGGCCACCATAGTACTAAGACTGAAAGCCTGCTAGGCAGTCTACACAGAAGGGAAGTCACCAAACGTGGGAAAGAGTACCTTTTTCTTACTCGAAGGAACCGCTACCATAGGATTTAAGACAAGGATGCCTTATTGTTTGGACTTTCATTAAGAATAGACCTAGGATTGAAAGAGTCGCAATAGATGGATAGCATCTTCAAGGGATTGATGGCTTCTTCAGGAAAGGCTTGGCCTCCAGAAGATGAGGACTTATTCGGAAGGATAGAGTCATTGTATTCCCGAGTACTGATTCTCTTTTAGGATGGTATTCTATTGAATGAAGGCTACCTTCTTACTTGGCAGGATGGGGTAGACAGATATAGTACGATTGAATTGATGGATGGTGCACTATCCTTCTCCCAATCATTTCTCAGCAAAACCAATGAGTACAACTTATTAAAGGGAAACTACGAAAAAGATCTTAGAGCTAGTTGTCTCAATCATCCACAGCTCAGGGATTAATGTGCTCTTTTTTATGCTGGAGTCATAGCTTATCTAAATTCTTATTCCCACCCCTATAAGGTCTTTAAATAAAATGAAGATAAGACGATAACTTATCGTCTGCATCTATAACCAATTCTGGTTTATATACATTGCTAAAGGGTTGAATTCCAAACGATTAGGTTAGGGCAGGGTGGAGTTCCTCTTTAGCACTGTTCTTTTAGGTGTAGTTCCATCAAGGCGCCAAGATCAAACTCCGGCCGGGAGGGGCCAAAGACTTGATAGGTGTAGTGACTTAGATTCCATGGAGTACCGTCAGACTTCCATGTAGTTCTGTCTAATCAAGGTATAGAAGAAAAAGAAAAGCCGACCTTTTCTTTTCCACGCTTTTTTACATTTCAGTTCAGATACGTTGCTCGACTTGCGCCTTTGCACGCTCGACCGCTCCCCCATCCCGCCTGGCCCATTCTAGCGGGGAATAACCTCAATCCGTAGAAGCTGCATCTCTCGACTCGCGCCTTTGCACGCTCGACCGCTCCCCCATCCCGCCTGGCCCATTCTAGCGGGGAATAACCTCAATCCGTAGAAGCTACATCCTCAAGGGCTGAGTGATTATGCCAGTGATCAAGATATCAACCACATAAATAGGTAGTAAAATGGTTATGGACCCACGATGAAGAAAGGTAAGTGATGCGTCGGAATTAGAAAATCTTAGGCCAAACTAAATGTTGATCAGTGAAGACAAGAAAGCTTTTAAGTGTAGACGACTACTTGTACTTGAAATTCCATTCCTTTATCCGGTGGGAGGGTTTAAAGCTAGTTAAGCCAATAGCATATCTAGCAAAAGCTTCAGTAACACCAGCTACATCAGTAGATCATTGATTAGCATACCTCCTCTGAATAGTCTACGTGGACCCTAGTTTCTATTACTATTAATTCGAATTAATCCAGTAATGCATACATCCTTTACTCTCTGAAAGAGCAGGAGGTTTAGCGTCAACTCATTTAATGAATGTTCTTTCATTCACCACACGGATGAATCCTACTCTGTATTTTCCAGTGGACAGTCATTTGTCTAAAGAGAATAGACGTATAGCAGCTCTCTCTCATAACAGAATGAAAGCAAGCAAGAACGAAATGAGCGCTTACCCTATCGACCGAAGCTACTATCCTAAAATTAGAAACTCGTAAATTAAAGAACTATAGGAAAGGTAATATACTGAGCTAGCCTCCCGTTATGCACCAATGTTTGAAGAGGACCGTTAACCTTTACCAAAAGAAAGAAGAGCTATTGGTCAATTTCCTATAGTTGACCAATTGAGACAGGGCAGATGCGACTGATGGAAGGGATCTAATTTGAAGAAGGAAGTCATTTGTGGACTGATTCCGACCCTTTACCAGAAGACAAGAGATTCCCGGTATGGCTTCAGAAGAGGTATTCATTATACATATATCGTTTAACGAATTGCCCGATTGCCAATTCACTGTGCCTACCTATCTTCAATCACCCAGGAATGTTCACTTGGCCGCCTACCAATGATGCCTTTCACTTTCAGACAGTTCCTCGCGCATGAAAGGACTTCACTTATAAAGTCAAGATAAGAAAGGATGGTCTACGATCAGGGAATGCCTTTTTTGTTAAAGAGAATTGGCTGCAGAGAGAGCGCCTATCTCTCATAAGAGAAGGAGAGCCACTTTTTTTAGAGTATATTAATGAGTAGGACTTAATTCCAACCGCTCCTAGCTCAGAAACCACACACAGACAAACACATGGAGGCCCATAAAACCCAACAATAATAGACTAACAAATATACGTGACATACACTTCCTGTGTGAAGTTTTCATCTTAATGAATCAAAGCTCTTTGTAAAATGCTACTTTTCTTTCTGCAACAAGTAAGAGTACTTTTTCTTTTCATACACCCTTATGAATGAATGAATCAAAAAAATTATACTCCTAAACTGGCCCCCATCCTCTATTTCTTCAAAGACACAGGTACACATCATAGGAAAAAACCCCAAAAACAGAAAGAGAAAGAAGTAAGTCAAAAAATAGGAAATACTGCTAGATGGCTACCAGATTAGCAGCAGAGTACGCTTTTAGTCCCTTTTGGCACAACAAAACAAGGTAGTAATACGGGAGAAGGTGGTCCAGTAATCTTCTCCAGCAGGGTGGCCATAGTGAGATAGAGTGGTGAAACTGGGTTCCGAATAAAAAAAACAGAGCGAGTGAGGAAGGCAAAAGCTATGACATTGGAATCCGCTTCAAGGTAAGCCCCACTCCACTGAATTGGAGAATTCCAGAACACGTATCAAAGAGTGCTCCAATGGAAGTGGGGCACAATTGAGATAATTTCGACGATTAGAAAAGAAAAAGAAGAAGGTTAGTGTTCAATGAGCTCGAGATAGCTGCCTGATGAGAGGAAGGGACGCCGGGTACAGTCTTTCTTTGGTTCCAGCCCCCCGGTTACACCAAAGCACACCAGTCAATACTGTACTATAGCACTTACACCTGTGAGTTGGCAAAATAATATTGTATGATAATAAAAGACCTGAGTTGGCGAAATAATAATAATAAAAAAACCTAACGCTAACTAAGTGTTTAGTTACTATGCCCAAAAGCCCCATGCCTTTCCTAGTTGGATAACCAAACCCAACCGGCGATTTCCTACAAGTTTCTCTGTTTTTGGGGGAAACTAAGAATAAGAAAGGACAAAGAAAAATTTATATCATGTTTACACCGATCGGATTTCTAAAAGTCCTTCGACCCTTACCTTTTATTCATTCTATGATTCTCCTTTCTAACCTTCTTTTGACTACTTGGCTCCTGTCTCATTGGATTGGCTTTGATCCCTACCTTATTATGGAGAGGGTCAAAGGTTCTTTTTTACTCCATGCCTTACGTGCTCTTTTTAGGCTCTTTGGTTTGGAAATGCCTATCCTTCTTCTTTCGCTCGTCTCTTTGGTAGGCGGTTGCAGCAACTTGCACATGGATGATAATTCCGCTGGAGGAAGGGCGGTGGATTCAGGGTCGGGGTCGGATAATTGGCAAAAGTACCTCAACTTATCCGAGGAAAATGACTCTGCCGCATCAGCCTCTCCCACGTCGTCCTCTTTTTTCAGAGGAATTTCGGACATGTTCCCTGCACCGGACCTTGGGGTGTAAGTGCAGCAAGTGAGCCCTACTCATTCAATTTCCCAAACGGATCTATGGAATTCACCTTCCTCGTCGGCTCCAACCCCAGGTCAGGATAATCCACCGCCCCTGATCCCAGAGCTCCACCCTCCGCTTCTCGATGATGACACCCGTCGAGTGGAGCTCGCGAGTAGGTTAAGAACCATTTTATGGGGGAAAGCTTATAGGGAAGAAATGATAGATTCTGTTGTTGATACGCAAGTGCAGATTGAAAAACATCTTCAAGCTGCACTTGTGGGACGGGACTATTCGGTTGAGTCTCTTCTTGCGAAGAGGAACCAGATCAGGGGGCTCATCTTCTCCCCAATGGGAGAAGCGCTTAGTGAAAGGACTTACGCTTTGCACCTGAGGAGATTCTCCAGTTGGGTACAGTGCAAAGCCTTCCATTTCGGCGAGTTGAAAGGGCCATAAAGGACTTAAATCTCTTTCTTAAACTTGAAAGAGCGTAAATTCTTCCTTTTTTATCCTAATTTCCAACTCTTTCTGTGAGGCAAAACCTCACCACACTACACTATACTTCGACACAAGAGAAGAGGATAGGGCGCTTTGTATCTTCGAGATAGGAGTTGGCGGTCTTCTTTAAGAGAACTTCAATCTAATACTCATTATGGATCAACTCATGTTTCCACTCTATTTTCATTACGAGGATGCATCACGTCATGATCCGTTGCTCAAACCGAATCACGCCAACGTTATGGAAGTTCCTGGATCGTGTAAAATAATAGTAGTACCAAAGACAACACCTTCTATCAAAAATAGAAAATTGGCTATGGAGATTCCGTACAGCCAGAAATTAAAACAAAGGGCTTCAACAGGAAAGTCGTTTCGATCCAATCCATTCTTGGGGTCAAATAAAACAAAAAGGATATGTCAGTGACCTAGCACGACAAAGCACTCTCCGAGGGCATGTAATGTCACATTTTTTTGTCAGAATATCCACAGTAATGTCTCTGTTAGATTCTCCGCTCGAAATAAGGGAAAGATCAATTCAATTCTCGATGGAAACGGAATTTGGCGAATTCTCCCCCGAACTGGAAGATCATTTCGAGATCTTCGAACATATTCGAGGGTTCAAAGTTACTATTGTAACTTCGGCCAACACACAAGATGAGACTTTACCACCGTGGAGCGGCTTTTTGCAAAAAGATGAGGGGGAAACTCAGTAAGATGTCGGAGAAGCGAAATATACGAGATCACAAACGTAGATTGCTTGCGGCTAGGTTAAATATGAATTGAGATGAAAGCTTTATAAAGCCCTTTGTAAAGATCCCGATCTTCCTAGTGCTATGCGGGACAAACATCGTTCTAAGTTGTCCAAGTTGCCAAGAAAGAGTTCATTTGCACGAGTAAGAAACCGATGTATTTACACGAGTCTCCCTAATTCCGTATATGAGTTCTTCCAAATTTATCGTATTCTTTTTTTGTGGATTAGCATCTCGAGGTCCTTTGATGGGCATAAAGAAATTGTCTTGGTAGCAACCACCAAACCAATACAACAATGGTTCACTCTGCAACAGGTCTACAAGCAAGGTAAGTAGGTCCATTACCAGCCGGCTCCGGACCGAAAAGACCTAACGGACTAATCCCTTATCTAGGATCTTAGATGCTAACGGGGAGGGAATCGAAGTGGGGGACCCCACTACCGCCTGTGTCTATCTCCTGTCAAGTATGCTCCCCAGACATAGACTACGTACAGGGTAGTACTCTTGGAAAGATAAAATATCACCGCGTGAACATAACATGTAATGTTGTTACGAATGTAACTCCCGAAGGATCGACCAGTATTCTAAATATAGTAAGGCGGAGAACTGTTGTTCAGTGGAGCGCCGGAGTGCGGAGGTTGTTCCTATCATTGAAGTCAGGGTGTCGGACTGAGCCTTTCGAATGAGAAAGAAGAAAAATGCTTAGTTTCATTGGAAAAACCAACGCAAATATCATATTGACTTTCTCTCGCCCTACTTCTAAAGATAGATAGAAAGGGTTGGAGAGAATTTCAAAAATTCATTCTCTCCTTTCTAAAGCTGCGCAAGGCGGCCCCCCAGAACAAAGCCCACCCCTTTTTTCCCCCCTTAATTAAGGACCCTCGCCTCGCTTCCTATTCATTTGTGGGTCTGGACCCGATTTTTTTTTCAATTTCGAGAATCAACCAACGGAAAAATCCGTAGCCCAGGTGACTCACAGCCTCCCTCTTGTCCAAATAAATGAAATGGGATGAATCAAATCAATAAGCTTTTTGATTGATTCAGGGCGCAGCGAAGCCAAATTCAATCAAGGAAAGGGGGCTTACTTTTCCTGAAGCTGATTCATCCTATTTAAATTTAGCTATGCTAATGGAAGAGGAAAAGTTTTCAGATGAGATAAACCCCCAAGAGATGAGCGAGAACCCCCAATTGCTTAGGGGTTGCACTCTGTCCCACTTGGTGGACGAAATCTTCTCTCCTTTTTGAATTCTTTCTCCCACACACCCTTTTTGCCCTCTTTCGCCGAGAAGGAAAGAATAATCTTCCAAGCGGATAGAGACCTAAATTTCCATTAGATTCATTCCTAATCTTGCTTTGTTGCAGCAAGATGATCAGTCCGAGAGTTCTGGAGAGAACAGAAAGCGGTAAAAACCTCTCTTATTCGGTCACTGAGAAGTTGGACGACTGTTCAGTAACCCAGGGTGATCCGACCCCTTCGACGCTTTTTTGTCTGTATACCCCCTCCATCCTTCGGAGGTGGAAGAAAGGGTACTCACATTTTAATACATAGTAGGGCCCCAGAACGCTAAAAGGTGGGGGAACAAAAGTTGTCACGATAGAAAAGAGAAAAAAAGAAATAACTATAAGGAACCAACGGCTCCCTCTTCTTAAACAACATATATCCTCCACAGTTAATCAACATTTGATAGATTATCCAACCCCAAGCAATCTTAGTTATTGGTGGGGGTTCGGTTCGTTAGCGGGTATTTGTTTAGTCATTCAGATAGTGACTGGCATTTTTTTAGCTATGCATTACACACCTCATGTGGATCTAGCTTTCAACAGCGTAGAACACATTATGAGAGATGTTGAAGGGGGCTGGTTGCTCTGTTATATGCATGCTAGGGACGAAGTGGTATGAAGTTGCTTGAACCTAGCGCTCGGGAGGTTGTGCTCGACAGAAAGGGTAAGGGCAAGAATACTTGGCTGGACGTAGTTTAGGATCGATGTAATTGAGACAACTAAGTAGAGGATGGGAAGATGTGAGGCCGGCCAAAGGTGGTTCTATATAGCTCTTACGCATTTACAACTCGTACTATTTTATTTGAAAGTGAAATAGTTTTTTTTTTGGCATTATCCGGGATTATCAGTCCCCGTTGGAAAGTCTTCCAACTTTCCAATTAGGATTTTTCGAGCACACAGATTGATTTTATTTGAATAATAAGGGTAATTTGGTTGTTTGGTTAATTCTAAGGATGTCGAATGGAGCACTAACAAGGGTTGTGTTCGAAGGTCAATTATGTTATAGCTGTTAAAGGCTACTTCACTATTGGTCAAGAACTAATATCTTGTTATAATCTCTAGTTCTATCTTGATATAGGTTATCCTTCCCAGAAGCTTTGGCTAATGGAAAATATAATATTTAAAGGAATAGAACCCCTGGTTGGAACCTAGGCGCACCTCCCCCCGAGACCGATTCGTTTGGTCCGACAGGGAGAGTGGAAAGCCTTAGTGGGATCATCGAAACACACAAAACATATTATTATGACTTTATGAAAATTATTTTGTGCGATCGAAAGATCTCCTAAGTTTTCCTGGCGGGGCATGTTTGAACATGCCCGACGATTAAAGGGACTTCTCTTTCGAGTTCCTCTAGTCGCCACTGCGTCCATGTCCAAAGAGATTGCCCTTGCGGGATGTTCCTTTGTTAAGCAAGTCAGATACTTAAAACAGAAATCTGGATTCTTGTACACTGCCTTATATTTAAAGCAATGTGCAGTATCCTTACAGCGGTACTATGCTGGTAATTACCATAAAGGTGATTTACTTTCTGTTCCAGTATCCCTGACCAGGTGTGGTATTCCCAAGATCATACCCGCTGTATTACGAAAACACGTAAGAGCGAAGTCTGATCGAGGTGATAAATTGGTTAAACTTTACCTATCTTGGTTTGGTTTAGCTAAGTTGATATTGGTTGCCAAGAAAGTGACTAAGGCAACCTTTTCTTCTATGGCTTCTCCTCACCCTGATATTGGGAGAGTTTTGGAAGTCCTAGATGAGATTAAAACCTCTTTTAGAGACCTCCAACCAATCTATCTACCACACCTCCAAAACATTCCCTTGGAATTAGGAATGTCTTGGGAACCAACTTGGAAAAGTACCCCCTTATTAGACAATTTCGTCCGTAGTTTTGACTTAAAAGTGGACGATACAGTCGATAAGGAGGCTGCAAAGTATGCTAAGGATCATAATATCTTTGTGAACCTGAAACATGAAATTGCAGCTTTTATCTGGAATATTCAAAAAATTAATTCAATTCCAGATGGGTTCTTTTCACCTGGTATTTTATGGTCTAAAATGGTATATTACCCTTTTGACCGTAATAATACCCGGTTTGCTAACGAAATGTTCAATTATTTTGAATCTGCTGTGGGTCCCTATTTTAGTACGTTACTAGGGGCTTACACAGGGGTTCCGTTAGCAACTGGTCGGTTAGCTCAGGTGATTGAGGGAGGTGGTAAGAGACGTATCTTTGCAATTTGCAACTATATTAAGCAAAGATTACTGTTTCCTGTCCACAAGTGGGCAATGAAGGTTCTATCCAGTATTCCAACTGATGGAACTTTCGACCAAGAGCGTCCGTTGTTGAGATTTAAATCAAAGAGAAAACGTCAAACATTTTCCTTTGACTTAAAATCAGCAACAGACCGTTGGCCATTGAGTGTTATATACTCCCTTATGTCTTGTATATTCGGGAGTACTTTAGCATCTTCAATAGTCAACAGCTCGTTGGGCCTCAACACATTTCTTGTCTTACCTCCCATGATTAAGGCAAGAATGAGTGAGGTTGCCTTTCTGACTGGACAGCCCTTGGGTTACTACGGATCTTGGTCATTGTTTGCATTGTCACACCATTATATTGTATGGTTGGCAGCAAAAAGAGCATATCCGAGGAATAGGACTCCTTTTACTGACTACGCTTTACTAGGTGATGATATCCTAATCACCGACGTAAAAGTGGCAGAGCAGTACAGACAATTACTGGATCAGCTCGGTGTTACCATTTCAGAATAAAAATCGATTATATCTTAAAATGGTACCATCGAGTTTGCTAAAAGGTATTGGACGAAAGATATGCAAATTGATCTTTCTCCAATATCTCTTAGAGCGTTGTTGTCTTGTAGGACAACCGTAGGTCTTTGTACCCTTGAGTAATAATACCTGGTTTGCTAACGAAATATTCAATTATTTTGAATCTGCTGTGGGTCCCTATTTTAGTACGTTACTAGGGGCATACACAGGGGTTCCGTTAGCAACTGGTCGGTTAGCTCAGGTGATTGAGGGAGGTGGTATGAGACGTATCTTTGCAATTTGCAACTATATTAAGCAAAGTTTATTGTTTCCTGTCCACAAGTGGCCAATGAAGGTTCTATCCAGTATTCCAACTGATGGAACTTTCGACCAAGAGCGTCCGTTGTTGAGATTTAAATCAAAGAGAAAACGTCAAACATTTTCCTTTGACTTAAAATCAGCAACAGACCGTTGGCCATTGAGTGTTATATTCTCTCTTATGTCTTGTATATTCGAGAGTACTTTAGCATCTTCAATAGTCAACAACTCATTGGGCCTCTCAACACATTTCTTGTCTTACCTCCCATGATTAAGGAAAGAATGAGTGAGGTTGCCTTTCTGACTGGACAGCCCTTGGGTTACTACGGATCTTGGTCATTATTTGCATTGTCACACCATTATATTGTATGGTTGGCAGCAAAAAGTGCATATCCGAGGAATAGGACTCCTTTTACTAACTACATTTTACTAGGTGATGATATCCTAATCACCAACGTAAAAGTGGCAGAGCAGTACAGACAATTACTGGATCAGCTCGGTGTTACCATTTCAGAATCAAAATTGATTATATCTTAAAATGGTACAATCGATTTTACTAAAAGGTATTGGACGAAAGATATGCAAATTGATCTATCTCCAATATCTCTTAGAGCGTTGTGGTCTTGTAGGACAACCATAGGTCTTTACCCTTGCAACCAAATATGATATTAATATATCAATTTTACAAAGGTTGGGGGGTGTGGGCTTCCGTGTTTGTTCTCACATTCATTCTACCCAGTCAAAACGATGGGAACGATTGAAAGCGGCTTGCTTAAAGCCAGGTAAGTCACATCTATTACCTCTAGAATATTGGATTGGAAGGCGGCGCCCTCGCCCCTCAATCCTTATTTGAAGGGAAAGATAATAGATTTTCTCCGAAAGGAATTAAAACCTAAGGAGTTACAACTCTTCCCTGAAGGGTTGGTGTTTGATGGTGAGCGGAAGATACTTGAACGCACTGTTGTACGTCAATGGATGGAACAGTGGCTGCGATGGTTTTCCTGGTACCATATTACTGTGCTGTCAGAAGAGGTTACTATCAATCAATTGATGGAAGTTCCTATGTGTAGTAAATCCTGGAGAAGAACAAATGAAGATCAGAATTTGATCAAATTTGGACTAATATAGAAATGCTACGACATGGGTGAAGGATGGGATATCTCAACTACACCAATGTGGTTGTTATGTCCTTATCCAAACTCTTCCGGAGATAATGAGGCTGATGTCATGATGGCACTAGTCAATTAACCATTACTGGTGAAAGGACGCAGGTCATCAAAATTTAGGTGCATCTGAGCACATAGTCCCTCGTGGTAAAATTCTGTAAATGGGAGGGTGGTCAGGAGGGTAGCTTGTAGTTAGAGGATTGGTTGTCCTCTACTACAAACACCCAAGTGAAATCATTCTTTACTCGCTACAAGTATTTCGCCCTAGCTCTCTAATTCTATTAGCTATCGTTACATTTTTTTACTCGTGGAAAGTGGAAAGGCAGAAGCGTCGGCTAGTCAGTCACGGACTACTTGACTTCCTTATGATGATTCAATGTTAATGACCTCATTCAATATTTTTTTGAGCCTTCGCTATCGTGGGCTAGATGGATAGCTAGTAGTTCTGATCAGCAATCGCCTGACTATAGATAGGAAAAGATGTAGAGGTGCGTGCCACACTTACGAGGGACTGAGAAGTTTACGAAGTAGCGAGTTAAATGAGAGGCTAGAGTCAAAGGCGAGCCAATGAGCTTCTCAGTTAATGAAGAGCTTCCCTTGATATGAGCAGAACTATCTATTTGAATTATTAAAAATGTGGCCCTCCATTCCTACTTTGAGGAGTAGATTGAAGGGCTTATCGCTTTTCCTACTGCTGCTCTCGGCCCCGTATCGCAGCCGATCGATCTGCTGCCTTAACTTTAGAAAGATCATTTTTGTTCAACATTTTTTTTCTAGAAGTAGGGAAGTAAGAGAAGAGTGAATGAAGACCCTCACGGAGCGGTAAGGAGATCGATGAGTTTTTAATCTTCCTCTTTATGTATGAAAATACAGACATATAGTGAATGGACGAGCCCCTTCAACTTCGAAACAGCTTCCTTTGTACTTCCCTTCGTAGGAGGGGTAGGAAAAAGAAAGAGATTAGATAACTATAGAGCAGATTCAGATCCAACCAGCAAGGCATACGGTCTTGGACACTTAACCAAGCTCTTGATGAGCGGTATCCACCTTCTACTTATTCTGCTCTCCTTAGCCTCCGGCTTGGGCGTGGTGAAGCAAGGGGTCAGTGAGATCGACCCCGATCAGTGCAGTTAGATAGTTAGAGTTGGTAGTTTCTTCAACAATTCTAAAAAGAAGAGTTTCTCTTAGAGTTAGGGAGCGAGTGGAATAAACGAGTTCAATACGTTGGATAAGAAGAGTAGTGGACGAAGCGATCACTAGAGCGAAGGGGTGTAATAGGCAGAAAGGACTACTAGAGCTATATACTTTGAGAACTTGGATAAGAAGAGTAGTGGACGAAGCGATCACTAGAGCGAAGGGGTGTAATAGGCAGAAAGGACTACTAGAGCTATATACTTTGAGAACGATTGGAATACCTGAAACAAGAGAGGGTAGGTATAGCACTTTCGCCCTTTAAGCTTTGCTTTCTCGATCCACTACTATCTTACTAAAAAATAAAAATAAAAACATCTGAGTTAAGAGAAAGAAAATAGGCACACCTTTACACATCCTTAATTAATAATAATATAGAGGGGGCCCTTGGGCCATTTGACTGTAAGGAGAGGAAAATTATGGATTAGTTGAAAGCCAGGAAAAAATTGACTTTTTGAAGTCAATAAAAGATCATATAATAAAGTAGCGGGTTAGATAGCAAGAGCAACTAGATCAGTAATGGAAAGGGTGGCTAAAATGGATATATCTCTTTTACCCCTGGTCTGATTCCACCTAGTGGCGAATTAAACCAACAGAGAAAGCAACCCTAGTTTTTGAAGACTACCTACTCCGCTTTTTTATCAGATTTCATCGTACTGCTAGTCGTTGTTATTCCCGCTAACGAGTTTATCTGCAGTTCGCAATCATGCTTTATTCCCCTTTCAAGTTGGAAAAAAGAAGTAAGACTCGTGTGAAGCTTTAGTTTCGTTACCGGCCAGAGCTCCTAGCCCTTTTTGATTCTGTTTTATCTCAGTTAAACTCCACACCTCTATCAATTCATTCTTTGCCACATATCTCTTTCTTTTTCTTTGTTGCCTTTTGAAAGGAAAGCCCGTCCATCAAGTCTGTAGAGTTCCGTCCCGCTAGAAGTGATCCTATCTTGTTTGGGCATTTTCTTTGGTAATCCCCTTCTTCTTTACGGTCCATCTTTTCCTTTGCTTAGGTCCACTGTTCCTATTCTGCTTGTTCCGAAGGTACGAACTGAGGCTATCTCATATAGCTGCCATTGATGGATCAAATCATTCTAAAAAAGCGATATGCTTAACACAAGCTTTTCTTTTTGCCTCCTCCTGGAAAAGAGCTGATTCAATAGACAAGTCGAGCAGAAGGGAAGAGCTTCCCAAATCCTACTGTCAAGAAAAAGGCTAAGAGCACTTATTTAACTTCTAGCTCGTTAGGGATGGGATTCCTAAAACTAAGACCGGTAATGCCGTATACTATGACCGGAAAAAAGAATTCACCTCTAGAAAACTCATTTTTAAGGTCTCTTTATGACCTTAAGGACTCTTTTAAAGTGGGTTAAAACCTCATTTCTTATAATAGAAATAGGATTGTAAATCTAAAAGGATTAGCGCATAGATACTACAATTGATGAAAAAAAGGATCTGGTCTTTCACTACCAATTCCTTTCATTTTCGATTTGGGATGATGAGCCCAACCCTGCTAGACGTAGCTCTCTTAACCGGTCTTGAACTTGAATTGGATAGACCGAAGTCTTTCTTACCCATCCGATAAGCCTTTTACAGACTCGGCTCTTTCAAATCCTCTCAACAATAATTGACCGTTCACTCATGCTTTCATGGGAACAAGGAACTGGAAGTCTGCTGTTACTGATCTGAACTTTTCTTTCCTGGGTGTGGACGAGACAAAGAAAAGTCTTTTTAGTCTTCCGCTTTTTCGATGATATCTATAAGAAGGAATACTTGTCGTAAGGTAAACAGGAATTCCCGGCTCAAGCGAAATGATACCGGCTGAAGGTAAGTAAATTCTTTAGTTTAGGGAAGGAATCCACTCTAAAAGCTAGTCTTCTTTTATGCAAAGAATCCGATGCAGTTAGCGAGAGTCGTGGTAGTTCAGTTCGAAAGGAAAGGCAGTTCAGTCATCCGCTAGTAGAAATCCTAAAAAAGGAAAGTATGCTATCTCTCCTAGCCTTCTTTCTTGATGTGATTCCCTTTCCTACACCAAGCCAAGTTAGCTCATCATAGGGCTTTTTATTTTTAAGAAAGGCTTAAGTTCTTCCTTTATTGCCCGCGCGACACTCGGGGTTAACACTCCCAAATATGGAAATCCTAACCACAGTTTTAATGATAACGGGGGGCGAAAGCATACAAAGATAGTGAGGCTTCCATCGCTTAGATTTAGGGCGATAGGGCGCACCACAGATACGATAAGAAGCACCCATCAATCGATAGGTCAAAGACAGAAACATAGTACCAGTGACATCTCTAATCTTTGAGAAAATCGGGGTCTTTTCCACATAAATAGCGTCAACCAAAGACCGAAGCATCTTAGCAGACACTGGAGAGAAATCCTTAGTAACTTCGTCGCTCCTAAATTATTTGGCAAAACTCCAAAACATGACTTATAATAAATAATGTTTCAAATGGGTAGACTTTTCTTTAGATATAGTTATAGTACACTGAAACTATATATTATGCTAAGTGGTAGTCAGCTTCTCGTCGGCGATCACCGTCGCCAAGAATGGCATAGTCGCAAAGCTTTGTCGTGCCATACAGCCTTTCAGTAGCTATCCACACAAGCATATGATGTTTAAGTGTGAATAGAGGCCAAGAACAAAAAAATCCGAGGGGTTGACCCTTCGTAAATGTCACAACCGATGGCCTATAGCCTTTATTATATTATAAAAACTATATGGTAATTGAAAGACTACAGAACAAAGTATGAACGTCCAGGAAGTTGCAAAGGGATATCCGAACAACCCTGCATACAGGACGTCAGGATAACAGATAAGGAATCTGTAGCAGCCTTAAGATAGTTAAAAGGAGAATCATTTTTTCTTTCTTCTCAAGTACTGCAACGGTTGGGTCTGATTATAGGTACCATTCATTCTTAACCTTGACAAAACCTTCATCCATCATGTATAGGCCGTACCAAGGCCTGATATAAGGGTAAGACAATACCGAATAACCTTTTCTTCCCTGCCTCCTCGACCTTCATTTCCATCATGCAGCCAAAGTGATAGCAGCTATAGCATCCACCGGTAATGTGTGGAAGAGGGTAAGATTTCTATGTGGATAGGACGTATCAACACCTTTTGCATCTTTTCATTTGAAAGGAAATATATAATAATAATATAGTGTTGGGTCCTGAGGACCAGGA